AGAAAGAAAGAAAGAAAGAAAGAAAGAAAGAAAGAAAGAAAGAAAGAAAGAAAGAAAGAAGAAAAAGAAAATCTCTCCAGGTGATCTCAGTATGCAGCCAAGACTAGGAATCACTGCTAGAATTCTGTTTTCCTTGGAGCTGGGAATGGTGCCTAGCACATAGTAAGTACTCAATAAATACCTAAGAAATGAATGAATGAGGCCAAGCACAAAGAGCACATAACACAGCACCTGTGCTTTGAAATATCCTCCTGGATTGAGGATGATTTCTTGGGGCCGGCTATGATTTGCATGGATCCTCCAAAAAGCAGATTTGAAAACTTAGTCCCCAGTGCAACCATGCTGGGAGGTGGGGCCTAACAGAAGGTGGTTGGGTCATGAGGACTCTGCTCTCATTAATCCATGCCCGGCACAGATTAACACTGCTGCAGTCTTGCACGTCCACAAGCCTGCGTGTTCTCTTGTCCTTTCACCTTCCACTGTGGGATGACACAGCAAGAAGGCCCCAACAGATGTAGACCCCTTGGCCTTGGACTTCCCAGACTCCAGAACCATAAGAAACAAATCTTTGTTCTATATACATTTCTGTCTCAGGAATTCTGTCAAAGCAGCACAGACTAAGACAGCACCTGAGGCAAAGTGAGAGTGCCTGGGGTGGGAACTCAGTCCATCAGATGATCCACTCAAGTCAGCTGGGGACAGGCTCTCAGAGGTCAAGGCACAGCCCAGACTCTCCACCCTTTGGTGGAAGGGGAAAGGGTAGTGGGAGTGGGGTGAAGGAACAAACACTACTCAATGGCTACAGTGTACACTGCTCAGGTATTGGGTGCAACAAAATCTCAGAAATCACTGAAGAACATATCCATGTAACCAAATACCACCTGTTCCCCCAAAATCTATTGAAATAAAAAATAATTAAAAATAAACAAAAATATCCCTTCAAGTTCTCTTTGCTATTTATTTGTACAGGTTAATAAAACCTTTCCTAAGTCAAAAAAAATCTGTGGCCCAAAACTTGTCTGAATTAACTGAAATAGGTGGACTCTGAAGGAATGCACTGTGACTACTGGGATGCCAGCGTCTCATTCCTTTGACAATGATATGTCTCTTTAATAAGGTTATTTTATTTTTGGGCTGGGCGCAGCAGCTCATGCCTGTAATGGCACTTTGAGAAGCCGAGGTGGGTAGATCACTTGTGGTCAGGAGTTGGAGACCAGCCTGTCCAACACAGTGAAACCCCAACTCTACTAAAAATACAAAAATTAGCTGGGTATGGTGGTGCATGCCTGTAATCCCAGCTACTCGGGAGGCTGAGGCAGGAAAATCACTTGAACCCAGGAGGCAGAGGTTGCAGTGAGCCAAGATCCCACCATTGCGCTCCAGCCTGGGCAACAGAGCGAGACTCTGTCTCCAAAAAAAAAAAAAAAAAAAAAGTTATTTTACTATAAACATACAAGTGTCAATATAAATAAACTACCCATAACTCCACTCCCTTAATACAACCACAAAAGGTATTTTTGCCTACTTCTAGCTTTTTCTATGACTCCTAAAAACAAACCAAAACCCATGGTTTTAACATAAAAGTATTATCTCATATATGTAAAAAATACTTAAATGTAATACCAAAGGCAGTCTCACATTGCTTCAAAATCATGTTTAGAGGACACATAACATTTCTACAACTATCTCAACTTGCTGAACCATTTTCCTAATACTGGATTTTTACTTAGTTTTAATTTTTTCTCTGTAATAAGACTGCAGTAAACATTTTCTTATATAACTTTTTGTGTGATTGAGTGTTGTAAGCTTTCAATAATGAAAGGTTGGAGCCTTCTGTCCAAAGAGAAAATTGAAAGTGTGGCGCCTGACCCCCCGCCTCCAGAATTTAATCAAGTGGGGGTTATTAGTAGTCAAAGACGTTATTAGATTATTGAAGACAAAGATGTTTTCAAGAACACCATATTCAAGATTGGAGCTTCTCTAGTAATCTTAACTTGTGGCTTTTTCATTTCTTACACCTCCCTTCCACTAAAGGGAAAAAAAAAAGGAGAGCAAATCCCAAATCAGTCTTTTTTGTGGGGAAGGGGCCATTCCAGGGAAGGGTCTGGTTGATGAGTCTATTGCCAGCTGCGCTCCTGTGTCACCCTTGCCTGGGCCTGTGAAGAATATTGAGATTACGAGAGGTACACCAGTACATTGCATTCAGAATGCAGCCATTTGATACAGAAAGAAAACAAAATGTAGATTGTAAAAAGGAGTTTACAAGAAAACCTGACAAGCTTCCTAGATATCACTGGGTATTAAATTGGGGATTCTGATGTCATTTGAAATGGATTCCCTGAAGAGTTCTTCTTATTACCAGAAGTTTGGTTTTTTTGTTGTTTGTTTGTTTTGTTTTTTCAAGAACTTAAAACTGGAACTTTCCAGAAGAAAAATTCAAATAAGAATCTCCTTCTGGGAATCCAACCTAGTGAGCCATCAGAAATTTGAACCAGGAAGTCTCCGCCCCAGCTTTGTCCTTTGATTATACACATACGGGCACATGCACAGACACAAACAAATACAGACATGGGTACAAACATGTGAGCACACATACAGACACACAGAGACACACACACAGAGAAGTAGACATACACACACAGAGGCAGACACTCTGCAAAATGCACAGAGGTTCAAACAATGACTCACCTGTTCCCCAGGCCCGGTCACTTGCAGGGAGCTGAAGAGCCTATCATCACCAGTCCACAGCGTTGCTACCTGTCTCCCTTTTCTCCTCTCTCTGGCCCAGGGGAAGGTTTGCTTCCCTCCACAGGCAGGACAGAAGGAGCCTCTGCTCCAGTGGAAAACAGCCTCAGAGCAGAGGTCAAGAGCAGCAGCCTTGGACCAGGGCAGTGCCCGCTGGCCCCCAGCCCCAAGGTCAGGCCTCTTCTCCTCCCAAAAGATTTCAGGGCAAAGTCCACGGTGGTCATGTGGTCACCTGGGGCAGAGCAGGAAGCTGGATCACAAAGCAGGTGACTCAGCAGGAGGCTGGACCACAAAGCAGGTGACCTGGGAGCACCTGTGTGCTGCCGGAAGTCACATTCCTGTCCTACGTTTGCTGGCACCCAACTGGAGCCCGTTGTTCAGCTTTGTTCCGGGGTTTCACTTCCGGGGTCTCACTTTGGCACGGAATATTTTTCTTGGCTCCTTCCTTGGAGCTGTGTTGAATCTTTGTTGCACTTGAAGAACCAACAGCCCAGAAGAGAAAAGAATATTTCGGTCAAATGAATGAATTCCTCCCACTGTCAGCTGGAAGCCAACCCTGGCTGAGCCCCACCCTAGACCCACAGGCAACTCAGTGTGAGCCAGTGCAGGGGCAGACCCTGGGCTGATGCCATCTGAGGGCAGGGTGGATGTGGCCTCCGTGGATATGGGAGACTCCAGGTGCAGGACAGGGAGGTGGACTTCCTCCTGGTCTTCCCAAATTCTTCAGGAGACTCTAGTCAGGAAATTTCTGGCTTGGTGGTAATGTAAGAGTCTCCTCCAGGTAAGATTTCCAGAGCCTCTGAGTATGGCTGGGGTACCAGGGTTGGGTCTGAGGCTGAGGAGACGGAAATCTGTTGCTGTGAACATTACTCCACACAGCCAGTGTATGGGAAACCAGCTCACTTTATGTTCTCCAAAATCACCCTAACTTCTAGTTTGGGTCCCATCCCATGGGGCTGCTGGGAAGTAAGTTCCACCATCACGGTGGTTCCTCCGCCCTGTGGGAGTCAGGGGCTCTTATGCTGGAGGCGGGGACACCGGCCTGGGCTTCTGCTGAGGCTCTGCCCCTCATCCCTGCAGGATGGACTAGCCAGTCCTAACACAGGACCAGTGTTGCTCTGCCACGTCCAAGCCTCCTCTGGGATTCTTCCTCCATGCAACCACTTCCCCTGGGGCGTGGCCACCTCCCTGGAAGCTGCCAGCATGCTCGGCTGGGCCCCGGCACTCTGGAGACTTGAGAATCTCTCTTTTTGAATGAGTCCTTATCCTCTGCCCCCAGGCTGGTAACCAAAGGTCTGGGGGTGGTGACGTGCTGGGAATGGTATAACTCGTGAGATGGAGGCTGAATGTGGAGACACGTGAATGTGCTTCTCTTCTCCCCAATTCCCTTGAAGAATCCACCTTCCTGCAAGGTTGGGGGAGCGTAGAATGGGAGGAAGATACAAATAACAATTTTATAGCAAGAATGCAAAAAGAGGCCAGTGCAGTGGCTCAGGCCTATAATCCCAGCACTTTGAAAGGTTGAGCTGGGTGGATTGCTGAGGTCAGGAGTTCAAGACCAGCCTGACCAACATGGAGAAACCCCATCTCTACTAAAAATACAAAAAACTAGCCAGGCATGGTGGCGTGCGCCTATGATCCTAGCTGAGGCAGGAGACTTGCTTGAACCTGGGAGGCAGAGGTTGCAGTGAGCTGAGATTGTGCCACTGCACACCAGCCTGGGCAAAAGAGTGAAACTCTGTCTCAAAAAGTAAAAATTAAAAAAAAAAAAATTAAAAAGACAAAATGCTTAAGAACCAGCTTTTTACTCCCAAAATGGGAGGCTTGTGCCTACAGTCAGACAGCAGGTTTGAAAGCCAGGCCTTGTCTAGAGAAAGGAGTTTTGGAATCTGCTAAGCTCATCCGTGATTATGTAACAGCCCATGGATCATGTTGGGGGGGTCCCAACTCCCTAGAAGGAGGAAACCCCTAGAAGCCCTCAGGCCAGTCCCCAAACAGCACAGAGCTGGGCCAGGCGGCATCCCCAGCCACCCCTTGAGCAATGCACATGTGTGAGATCACAGAAGTGACCGGTGAGGGTGCAGAGAGCCCTTGAGGGCCAGGACGGGACCGTGGAAGGAGACGCCACGATAGGCAGGCTCAGGGGCTGGTGCAGGCAGGGCCAAGGTGCCCCAGAGGCCGGTGGTCCAGGCAGGCATTTCCAGCAGAGACCACGGGGAAGCAAGGACTTCTCACATGTCCAAGGACAACACATCCCCTCCCCACACTGCCACGAAGTCCCCAGCCACACTCCCAACCCAGGCACCAGTGCCCACGTGAGAGAGGGGCAAGGCGGCGGCATCCAGGAGAAGCAGCGTTTTACCTGGTGATCCTTTACGTTACTGTAGGACAGCAAATCTACAGGGTTGGATGGACTGAAATTTAAATCCCCCTCTCCTCTGTTTCCCGCTAGATCAAGCCCCTGGAGAAGATCTCCTTTATTAACACAGAGGTAAAACACATGAAGAAAGTCCGTGACTTGTGGCAGGGGACAGGGCGCGGAGCTTCTGCAGCGCGGAGAAGAGAGCCCTGTGTTCGCGGTGGCTCTCACCATGGCCTGGGGTAAAACCAGCAGAGCCCCTCTAACACCCCTGGGTGGACAGGGTCAAAGCCTGTGTAGTTATCTTTGGACGCGTAACACATACCCACTGACTCGGCGGCTTAGAATAACACGCATTTATGGCCTCACGGCTCCTGTGTCCAGGAGTCGGGGCACGGCCTCGCTGCGTCTTCTGCTCAGGTTCCCACAGGCTGCAGTCAAGGCACTGGCCAGGCTGGGGTCTTTCTAGAGTTCAGGGTCCTCTTCTGAGCCCACAGGTTTGTTGGCAGAAGTCAGTTTCCTCAGTAGGCTGAGGTCCCCATTCCTGCTGGGGTCAGTGGGCAGCTGCTCTCAGCCCTTCAAGGCCCCTCACACAGGGCAGCTTGCTTTCTCAAGGCCAGCAAGAGATGCTTTCTGACTTCTAGATCCTCTTTTAAAGGGCTCATCCGATTGGGGTGGGCTCCCACAGCACCATCTCCCTTTTGCTCAACTCACAGTCAACTGATGAATGACCCTAATTACATCTGCAAAATCCCTTCACCTTCACCATATCATATAACCTGATCTCAGGAGTGACACCGTCATAGTCACAGCCCTGTGCACACTCAAGGGGAGAGACATGTCCACCAGGGGCTTGGAATCCTGGGGCCCATCCCAGAGTCCGTTGCCCACAGTGCCTGAGGCAAAGCTCACACAAGGGAGGCCCTCCCAGCCCAGGTGACTTTGCAGCCCGCTGGCACACGGCTGGCGGGTGGCAGGGGACCCACTGCCGGAGCCCACTTCCTGCTTGGTCAGTGTGGCAGGGCCCGGTGCTCATGCTGATCTCAAGCAACCTGACACCCTCCTCGTGAAGGCCCAAGGGTACAGTGAAAGACCAGAACCCAGGTATTCAAGAGGGTCTGGGGGCTCACAGCTTCGCCTCCTGCACAGAGGTCATCTGGGAGCAACCTGCCAGATCCTCCCTCAGGAAACAGTCTCCTCCTCCCAACACCAGTTTACTCACCTCCAAAGTAAGGGAGCTGGGCCAGATGGTTCTAAACCTCCCTCCGCTTCCAGCCTCTGTGACCGATCACTCTATGCACCGAGGGCCATCCGGCATGAGCAGGAAGCCTGCAGTGCACGCATGTAAATCAGAAGGTGCATTCCCGTGGGGACGTGGGAATCCAGTGTGAGCAGGAAGCCTGCAGTGCACGCGTGTAAATCAGAAGGTGCATTCCTGTGGGGACGTGGGACATCAAGCTCAGACACAAACCCCAAGGAAGGCGGGTCAGGACTCACCATCCAGACAGTATCCATAATGCCACGCAGACGTGGTATCGTGCACAATCATCATTGCTTGTAGTAGAAATTAGGCAAAATGGAACATAAGCAATTTACTTACAGGACCAGAATTCATATGATTTTAACACATACCAATTTTTAAATTTTTCTCTAGGCATTTTATCAACTCGTCTGTGTTACCATTGATAGGGAGAATATTCACAATGCTACTTACACAGGCCACGTATGCAGGCATGCACACTTTCTCCTTCCAAAACATGCAAAATGATATCATTGGGGAGCTAGACGGGCCCCCCGGGGTGGATGTGGCCTGAGTGCCCGTCCAATGGCTGAAGAATCTCTGCAGCTCTCCTGCCACCTGATGTCTCAGTTTCTGCTCAAATATCAACAGTGACGGGATTTTTCTCTGAGACAGTTTATCCCATGTGGGTTCCTTTCTAGCCAAGTCAGTCCTTTGTAACTTTCCACCCTTTACTGCCCTGGGGTTGCGGGGAGAGCCAGGCCTACTGCTGCATAAACATTTCTGAGATGTTGAAGCAGCTCTCAGGGCTTGCAACAGGCATTGTAAACGGCCTGCCCCAGATCCATGCCCTCCTTGTTCCTTACGAGGAGATCCCCACTGTGGTTCAGGTTGTTAATGCATTCGTATCTTCTTTCTTGCATAAGTGACCAGGTGACCCCACTCTGGCCAGGGAACCATGGGCTGAAGTCCTCAGGGGATTTGTGGGGAAGCGGCGCCCCCCTCCTCCTTGGGGTTTTCTTGCAGAGCTGCTGTGAAGAATCAAACTCAGCTGTGATAATTATCCGAGGTCAGCTCTTCCAGAATGTCCTTATCTCCTAAGGCCTTTGAGATAAGCAGGAATTGTGGTGTCTGCCTTGCCTCCAAACCTTTATCCTTGCTTATCTCAGTGGAAAATTCCAGCAGGGATTTCTAAACACCAAGTTAAATTCCTCCACTCAACAATCAGTTTGGCATGTGGCTGCCTGCCAGGCTGGGCAGAGCAGAGGGGAGCCAAAGGAATAAACCCAAGTCCTGCCCCCAGGTGTCCAGAGCCTGGCGGGGATAGGACAGTTGCCTGCAGAGCAAGAGGCTGCCGCCCGGGTTCACACAAGCCAAAGAGGCTGACCCACCTGCCCAGAGGCAGGGGAAGAATCCAGAGGACCTCTCCTAGGAAGAAATGTTGGCACAGGCACGAGAAGCCCACGTGGCAGCCAAGAGGAGGAAGAGCATCCTGGGACCCAGAATGCCAGGGGCAGATGTGCACTGGGAGGCGTGGGGCTGGGGACACCATCAGTGAGCACAGGGACTGGGTAGGCTGTGGGAGGGGTGAGAGCGGAGAGACAGCCAAGCCGGGTTGTGGGAGGCCCTGCCTAATTCTGTAAAGACTAGGATTAGAAACATAATAAAAATGGGCTGGGCACGGTGGCTCACACCTGTAATCCACTTTGGGAGGCTGAGCCCGGTGGATCACCTGAGGTTGAGAGTTCAAGACCAACCTGGCCAACATGGTGAAACCCCATCTCTACTAAAAATACAAAAATTAGCTGGGCATGGTGGCACACACCTATAATCCCAGGTACTAAGGAGGTTGAGAACGAGAATTGCTTCAACCCAGGGGGCAGATGTTGCAGTGAGCCCAGACTATGCCACTGCACTCCAGCCTGGGCAAAAGAGCAAGTCTCTGTCTGAAAAATATAATATAATATAATATAATATAATATAATATAATATAATATAATACAATACAATACAATACAATACAATACAATACAATACAATACAATATAATATAATATAATATAATATAATATAATATAATATAATAAAAAAATGAAGGGCCGGGTGCAGCGGCTCACATCTGTAATCTCAGCACTTTGGGAGGCCAAGGTGGGAGGATCACTTACACTCAGGAGTTTGAGACCAGCCAGAGCGATATAGTGAGACCTTCATCTCTATAAAAAAATTTAAAAATTAGCTGGGCATGTTGGTGCATGCCTGTGGTCCCAGCTACTAGGGAGGTTGAGGTGGGAGGATCGCTTGAGCCTGGGAGGTTGAGACTGCAGTGGGCCATGATCATAAACTGCACTCCAGCCTAGGCAACAGAGTGAGATCTGGTCTCAAAAAAAAAAAAAGACACTGCTTTTATTGAGCACCTACTGTGTGCCAGGCACTATGCTAAGTCCTTGGCTTAAAATATCTGATTCAGTCCTCACAGCAACCCTTCGATGGAGCCCCACCCTGTGACCACACCCTAGAGGGCCCCACACTGGCCTTCCTCTGGCCGTGCTCTGGCTTCCAGGTGAGCAGTCCTCCAGGCCAAGGGACACCACTTCGAGATCATGCTGCCAGATTCGGGAAGCGCAGAATTCCCCACCCAAGCAATCCAAGCCCACTTCTGAGGCCTGCAGGGTCCTCTGCTCAGGGTCCACTCCCCAAGAGCAAACCACAGCAGGCTGCAGGGCAAAGGCACAGCTGTCACAGGAAGCATGGCTGGAGGCTGGATGTGTGGGCCGGGCACTCACCTGCTTATCCTGAGCTCCTCCCAGTGTGAGACAGGCCCGGGGAAGGAGGCTGCCTGGGGCTGGGACACCCCATTCTGGCCAAGGAGCTCCAGGGTTCTAAGGGCAACCCTGGGCTTCCAGGCCGTCAGGAAGATGTATCTAGCAACGTAGCAGGTGGGGAACTGTGTTCAACAAGGCATTCACTTGGCTTTATTTATGACTTTATTTATTCGCATGGTGCATGGACTACTGTTTGTACTCCTGTCCCAAGCCCTGCAAATGTGAGACGGGGGATCCGTTATTTTTATCCTATTTTATGAGTGAGGAGTCTGAAGCCCAGACCCACTCCAGGCCACAGGGAGGAGGACAAGGGTAGGAACCCTGTGGTCCGTAGGAGTGAACGGGAGGAACTGATCAGACCTGAATCAGCCTCGGCGGAGGTGCACAGCTCCACATCGCTGCTACCCCTCGGGGAGGAACCTTAGCTCTTCCCGCAGAGGCCTGGGCGCTTCTCTCAGAAAGGGGGCAGATAAGCTCCGCCATTCTTGTCCTGGGCTGCGCAGCCCCCAGCCGCCCACCACCTAGGACAGGCGCTGTTCTAACATTCTCGGAAGCAGCGCTGTCCTTTCTATTAGGGGGTTCCCATGGGCACGCAGCTGCGCTCTAGCTTCTCTCGTAAATTTAAAAGCATGGCTCCCGTTCCCACACCCCCAGCACCATTTCACCCTTTAGAGTGGCCTCCACCCTCGGTCTACACTTCCTCTCTCCTGGGTCTCTCTTGAATCTACTCCACTGGGGCTGTGGCCTCCTTCACTTCACCCAGAAGGCTCCTGGACAGTCACCTGCGGCCTCCGTGTTACCAAACCCTCAGTCCCCACTGGCATAGCCGTGAGCACCACGCGGCCTGGTTGGACACCCTCCTGAGCAGGACCCTGTGAGGCTTCCGACAGCCTGTCCTGACGGCCCAGTCCCACTGGCCCCCCTCCTCCTGCTCCCAGAACCTCTCAACACTGGGGTAAAATTTCTCAGGCCTGTGCCTCTTCCCTCCTCTTGCTCCCCGCGCCGCTTGGAGATCCACAGATGAAAACCATGAACCGGCAGACGATGCTCAGACACAGGCCTCCATCCAGGCCACCCTCCGACTCCAGAGGCCCAAATGCGCCTCCTTCCCGCAAGAGGCATCGCAGATGCACACGTCCACACTCGCACTCCTGATACGCACAACCTGCCCCACCTGCAGCCCTGCTTCACTTCGTGGCAACTTGATCCTTCCAGGAGCTCAGACCAACATCCTAGAGTCACCTGTGTCCTCTCTCCTCACACGTCCCACGTCTAACACACAGGAAGTTCTTTCAGCTCCACATTCACACATCACACATAACCAGCCGCTTCTCACTGCTGCCATGTTAGTCCCCATGCCCCGCCTCCACTGTTCCCACTTTGGTCCCCTCTCCCGTCCTCCATTGCTTCCACCTCAGTCCCCTCTCCCTCCTCCATTGTCCCCACCTTGGTCCCCTCTCCCTCCTCCATTGTCCCCACCTGTCCCCTCTCTTCTCCATTGTCCCCACCTCAGTCCCCTCTCCCTCCCCCACTTCCCCCACCTTGGTCCCTTCTCCCCTCCTGTCCCCACCAGGGTCCCCTCTCCCTCCTCCGGCCTTCCCCCACCTCAGTCCCCTCTCCCTCCCCACTTCCCCACCTTGGTCCCTTCTCCCTCCTGTCCCCGCCAGAGTCCCCTCTCCCTCCTCCATTGTCCCACCAGAGTCCCCTCTCCTCCTCCATTACCCCACCTCAGTCCTCTCCCCTCCTTCCTGTCCCCTCCCCTCTCCCTCCTCCATTGTCCCCACCTCAGTCCCCTCTCCCTCCTCCATTGCCCCACCTCAGTCCCCTCTCCCCTCCTTCACTGTCCCCACCTTGGTCCCCTCTCTCTCCCCCACTGTCCCCACCTCAGTCCCCTCTCCCTCCCCAATTGTCCCCACCTCGGTCCCCTCTCTTCTTCTCTATTGTCCCCACCTCGGTCCCCTCTCCCTCCACTATCCCCACCTTGGTCCCTTCTCCCCTCCTCCACTGTCCCCACCTGGGTCCCCTCCTCCCTCCTCCACTGTCCCCACTGGGGTCCCCTCCTCCCCCCTCCACTGTCCCCACCTTGGTCCCCTCTCCCCTCCCCCACTGTCCCCACCTTGGTCCTCTCTCCCCTCCCCCCTCCCCCACTGTCCCCACCTTGGTCCTCTCTCCCTCCTCCATTGTCCCCCGCTTCATCCCCTCTCCTCTAGTGCCTCCATCCTGGTTCCTTCTCTTCTTCTCCATTAATCCCGCCTTAGTTCCCTCTCCCCTTCTCCATTTTCCCCATCCTGGTTCCCTCTCCTCTCCTCCATCACCTCCACCTGTCCCACTCGCTTGCTCTCTCTCCCCTGGGTGATGCAGAGCCTTCTGATCAGCCTCCCCATGCCTGCCTTGTTCTTCTCAACACAGCAACTGTGTGGTTCTGTTTACAATCACAGTCCGATGCAGCTACTCCTCTGGCAAAGGCATCTAGCATTTCCCATTTCACTCAGAGCAGCAGTTCCGGTTTTTAGCATAGCCTGGAAGACCCTGTAACCTGCCCCCTTCCCCCACCCTCATCACCTCTGACTTCTGACCTCATTCTCCTCCTCTCTCCCTGCTCCTTCCCCTCCAGCATCCCTGGCTACACGCAGGTTGTGCTTGAGCCTGACTTGGGGTCTTTGCACCTGCTGTCCCTTCTCCGTGGGAAGGTCCCTGGGAAGTACTTTCCCTGTCTCCCACTGCAGGTCTGTCACTGTGTCTGTGGCTGCCAGAACATATAACCACCAAGTTAGTGGCTTAGAAGAAAGCACACTTACCCTCTAACAAATCCAAAATCAAGACCTCAGGAGGGCCGGTTCTTCTGGGGGCTCTGAGGGAGGAGCCAGCCCTGCCTCCCTGTGAGCCTCTGGTGCCTGGGCTTACAGATGCACCCTCCAGTCTCTGCCTCCGTCTTCACATGGCTTCTCCCTTGAGTCTCCTCTACTTATAGGAACACTTGCCATAGGATTTAGGGCCCACCTGGTTCATCCAGGATAATCTCCTCTTGAGATCTTTAAATCAATTACATCTGCAAAGACTCTTTATTCGAATAAGGTCACATTCACAGGTACCAGAGGTTAGAGCTTCGACGCATCTTTTTGAGAGCCACCATTTGAGGGTCACCATTCAATCCCCCTACAAAGTCTGTGCTGAAAATGTTACCCCCCGCCACCTGCCCCGCCAAGTAAGCTCTTCTCTGACTAACCTACCCAAGAACCTCCTTACCCGCCGCCTGGCTTGATTTTTCTGCATTGCACTTATTGGTTTATTGCAGTTTTCCCAACTAGAATATACATTTCCCAACTAGAACCTTTGTTTGTT